AAGTTTTAAGCATCAAATGTATTTACCAACTCATTAATAATAATATTTATTGGCCAAAAATTGAATATTAATTACATAGTTAAATGGCCCATCTCACCACTGAGGATAACCTCTTATCGGTGATGATGGAGTACTATTTAAAGATGAGTTTGAATTTATAAATTTTATAATATTTTCAAAATGTTTTGTATAAACTGCATCATATTTGACTTTAATTCAAAACCATAAACTTGTAAGCATAACTATAATACCAAATTTAAAAAAATATATAAATACAATTGTAATTAAAGTTGCCTAAATCATAAAATTTCACTTAGTAGAAAAATGGTAATAAATATTAATCAATTCACTTATTTATTATAAACATATTTTACAATTTTCTATAATGAAGAAGATTAATTTAGTATGAATTTTTACGAAATACAATGTATATATAATTAAAATTATTTAAGTATTAATCAAGTATTTATAGACATTTTTTATTACTTTGTAACTATATTATGAACTCAAGCAGTAGGTTAAAGCAGAGGTCGGCCACTGGCGGACTGCGTAAACCAAAACACTGGACCCCGTCAACATAATATTGTACTTGATTATGTTATTTACTGTAAAAGTATATGCTATGTATTATTATTATTATATTATTTTACTATAAATATTAATAGAAAATATATATTTCATTTTGTATATCAAACTCAGATTATAGTTGTATCATAATTCATTGCAAATATTTTTTCAGGTAGGTAATAATCTGTTCTGTTTTATTACAATAACCGAATCGCAAAAATACCAAATATACAGACAGCGTTAAATTATTATTATTATTATTATTTACCTAATAGGTATTGTAATTTTTTAATATAAATTAATTGGAATACCAACTGGATAATTATTTTTAATTTAATACTGCTATTTTTTAAATATAAAGATTTGACAAAGATTAACACTGGACCTCATTGATTTATTATTTTAATCTTTAGGACTCCAATAGAAATTACTTCTGGCTTAAAGAATGTGTGCAAACAATTATAATTATAATAACTGTTTGCTTGTAAATATATATTCAACTATTAAACCATGTTTGTAAAATTAATTTACATGTTAAAATATATTATTCTACATAATTATATCTAATAAACATATATATATATATATATAATATATATCTAAATCTCTAAATGGATTGCTGTGTATGGATAACAAACCTGGGTAGCTATAACAAACCTGTACCGAACTTGATGTCTGTGAAGATAGCTCCTTCCTAGTTAGCTTCTATACCACTGATAAGAAAATGGTTGATACCAGCTATATTAAGTTGCATTTACTAAATTTATTAGGGGCAATTAAAATTTAATTTAATTTTAATTATAAGCAAAAGACAAGAAAAAGACAGTTATCAATTTATTACAATCTGTATATTATATTATAGTGTTTTATGTCCATATTCATTTATTTATGAATGGGCTAGGAGCCCAAAAGTACAATACAATTTATAGTAATATGTAAATATGAACAATATAACATAATCGTTAAAGTGAAGTCTAATAAACAAATAGCAAATAACTATAAAATAGTAACAACAGATTGCAGTACTATTATTTATAAAAACATTTTAAGAGAAACTAAGGAAAACTACATAGGAAAACTAAACCTAGTTAAATGATAATGTAATTTAAAATGAGAAGGAAGAGAGGGAGCCCAGTCGGCCAGACAAGTAAATACTAGGCTGATTTCAACCCATCCATATTTTTCTATTGATATTTTAATAATATCTATATAACTATGGCTATAGGTCAGATTAAAATAAATATCAAAACAACATTGAAATACACAAAAAGCATGTTCATCTAGTATCTGCAGGATTTTAATTTTTGTTTTTTAAGGATTTAAATATTATATTTAAATAGTCTTTAATTTAATGTAGGTAGGTACAAATATCTGTTGTGATATTGAATCTACTATTTTTCTTGTTTCATGAAAAAAATCAAATATGTTAATATATACCAAAAATAGTATAGGTAGAGATATTTTAGAGTTGTGATTTTGGTCTAACAATAGTCACTTATATCTAAATTATTCTATTGGTAGTCAGTGCATACAGTATTTACACAGTTCCTAGAAAAATTAGATACTTTGTAATTTGTTTAGTTACTTAACTTAAGATGTATGCAGAATTTGCAAAATAAATGACGCTGAAGAACAAAAATACCAATATTATAAATTAATTAGATTGTGTAGTCAATATCACTGCATGATGTTTTTGATTATTTGAAAATATTATTTGTAGTTACATATTTTAACTTATGCATAGGTACCATGTAAATAATAGTTGCTTAAAATTTAGAAAATCAATCTTTCATTTCCTCAACAAACCACAGTATCCAGAGATAAGCCATTTGTTATACCTCCTTATTTAAATCATTATTTTGGAAGGCCTAATTTTTTTTATAATTGTATGATTATAATTAATCTGTAATCATTTTTTTTAAATAACACAAAATAACAATAAAATATATAATAAATTAAATACAATTGTATGTACTTATGTGTATTTGCAGACAAATTACCTGAAGATGGAATTATCACAACAAAAAGCTCCCAATTATTCAAATAATAAGTACATAATGTTGTTAAAATAATTATTTGTTTAACTTTATGTTGTTTTACAATTTTATTGATGTATTATATTTTATTGTAAAAATTACATACCTACATAAAAAAAATAATTATTGTAATTTATATAATTAATTATTCTTTTATTACTCATTAATTGATTTGCAAAGTACAACATAAATACACCGCAGTTAAATCCATCATCTTGATATGGTATTTGGACAAACATATCTTTCCATTCTTTGATATCACCTATGTTTTGCTTTGGTTTCCAAATTTTAGGCACACTACATAAAACATTAAGAACTCTATCCTTCCAGTAATTTCTCTTCTCGATATTGTTATGCACGCTTTCTATAGAATTTAAATAACTTACTGTTTTTTTTATAAAATCTACATAGATCAAAGTCCAATGGTCTTTTTCTAGTAAAGGTATTAATAACCTTGATGAATCAATCCATTCAGGTCTATCAGCTGTAGAATTTTCAACACTTCTTCTACCAAGATTGAACATATAGTATGATTGATCTGGACTCACACAGCCTAACTGCTGTCTCCTCTTAGTGATCCAAGACCTTGAATTTCTCTCCAAAAATATCTGAAACAAACACCATATTTCTTTATTATGTAACCAAAGCATACTAGTATCGCCTTTAGTGTTTAAATTTAAAAAATCCAAAGACGATATTTCTATCTCTTCGTTTTCAAAAGAAATTTGCGATACCACATATTTGTCAATTCCACAATAAGACTTCATGTAATACATTGGATCTTTCACCAATTTGTTTTTACGGTATAAGTTATAATTTCCTGTTGGGGACTTATCAGTGGACGATTCCCATACAACTGCGTGCCCATAAGTGTCTGATGGAATTTGGGTAGTCGAAGCCACGGGTGAAGTATTAACATCAGTTTTATTTATATTCTCAATGACTCTTGGACTTGTACTATTTTCTCTTGTTAATACACAATTATGATCACTGATGTCACTGAGGTTATCAAATAATTGTTCACCAATATCCAAACTGTGCACAATTGGTTGATCTGTTTGACTGAAAACAGTGAGATGATCATTATTAAACTCATCTCGTTTTGAATGTAATACAGCACCCTGTTGGCACTGTATATTTAATGACAAACAATTTTGTTGGTTTTCACCATAACTTTTGCCTAAAATTTTATTATTGTTTCTCAAGAATGCTGGACGTTTTCCTTTCTTCCTCCAAGTTTCTGGAGTATTTAAATGCAGGTTGTCCTCGTCACAATCAGCTTTTTTTTTTATGGCACATATACGTCTAGGTATTTGTAATTCAACCTGTCTAAAGCATTGAGCTTCATATTGGGTTATATTTTCAATGAACCTACCACATTTCATTCTTCTTTTGCCTGCTAAAATATGATTTTTCACTAAATTAAACCAACTTTCTACTGATGCATTACTCTGGCGTTCTTCCAGATGAACAAGAGTAGTCATAACTTTTGTCCACAGAGGTATGTATGGCACATTTTCAATAAGGAACAGTGGCGTGGCGTGGGTATTAAAAAGATGTAAGCAGTGAAATTTTTTTTTCAAAAGTGATTAGAATATAGGTACTATACCTAAATACCTAATTATAAATTATGTATAAAAAAGCGTACTAAAGAGAAAATAAAGAAATTAAAGTATAAATACTTAAAAAGTCTATTAGGCGAATGACAGTGTCAGTGTAGACTACATGTCTACAACGCGTCGGGCTACGTACGGGTCGCTCCTTGTTTCTCGCGTAAGCAAAATCAAATGTGCTTACAAACGCTAGTTAAATACGTGACCCCCACTATGGCATTATAGACTATTCGAAAACAACAGTTGCGCGTAAGCAATTTCAGAATGTGTTACACTGTATACCGTATTATGATTATGCAGTTAACATAATACAAAATGGATTAAAAATAGACCTACAATCGATGATTTTCTTAAAATAGTTGGTAATCAGTAGACAGCGTACGACACAAATAATTAATGAACAATAACAAAAACCACTACTAGCTATAACTTAAATATTTTATAAATAAAATTAAAATTTTAAATATCATTAGTATGTGCCTATTAGTCGTGATAGATCAAATTTATTTTTTCTTTCATTTAAAGTGTAAGCAGTGCTTACAGTGCTTACATGCACGCTACGCCCCTGATAAGGAAATGTAACAAGTACTCTTCTGAATACATACTATTAACATCTAGGTGATTATGATTCTGTGAGGAAATACTTACTATTTTTTTCACACTGTCAAATATCTGTTTAAAATCATGATAAAATGCAGATTTCTTTCGTTCGGCATAATACAAGGTATCAGCGATTTTACCACAAGAGTAATTTTGATCGTCATCAAACTTTTCAATTTCATACTCAAATAATCCATTGTTCGTTCGTAGGTATGATTTCATTTCCATACTTGCACATTTCCGTTGACTTGTCTGACAAGATCATAGTCGACAGCAACTTAAACCAATGTTTGATTTCTTCATAATTGTTCATTTCAAACACTAACCCAACACATCTGGCTATATAAAATGCTGTTTTTTTATCATCTGGATAATAATGTTTAACATGGTTCAGAATATTTTTTACATAATGGTTTGTACAAGAAGTAATAACTACTGTGCTATAAGACAATGTTTCTCTTCCGGTTAATATTCGATGACACATATCCAGGTATTCAAATATTGTTTCTTTACCATTCCATGCTTTAGAAATACCATGCATAAAAGCCCAACTGAAATCAGTTACAACATTTTTGAAAGGCGGCCAGATACTTGGATCTTTTGCAATTATTAGATCTTTAAGACATTTCAACCATTCTGTAACAGTTTCTCTATCATGTGTTGCACTGACCATATCAGTTATTGGGCATACGGTTTAAATTTTACCTATACGCACTACACAAGCATAATAATAAATAGTTTGTTTTGTTGAGCTCTGAGGGGGCCTAACAACTGATCCTGTTGAATCCACATGAATAGTTGTTAACACACCTTGTTTAAATAAATTTTGAACCATTGCCAACTGCTGTTGGCTTGCCCATGTTACATTGAATGGTTCTTCTATACTTTCGGGAACTTTCATATTCAACCATGGATGTTCTTTGGCCATTAAGACTACATCAAAGTGATCATTTCGGTTGAAATCCCCTTTCAACTGTTTTTCACTATTCAGTTTCCTTAACATCGAAGGAGATTTAATTGTTTGCAAATTTCCACATTCCATTAATTTAATAGGTGAAACTGATAATACACATTCCTGTCTATTCTTAAAAGCACTTTTCGCTTTAATTTTTTCTGCAATAATTTTTCATTCAACTCCCCTAATTTGAGTAGTGTATCGAGCATCTGGTTTATGATTAAAGTTTATACTTGTACTGTAAACTTCAACAACTGCTTCTTCACCAGTAGGTAAAATGTTAAGTTTGAACCTATTACAGCCATCATGTTTACAATACACCTTTATTCACCTTTATTTTTCGATTCACTGAAATTCATGACTGGCATTTCTGAATGTGTAAAGACTGTCGGAACAGTACCAAATGCATTTGTAAGTTTCTTATTTTATTATTAAGATAGGTTTATTACTTGGTAATGTACTGAATCACTATCACAATTATTTTAAAATTAAAAACAAATAATAATGGAAAAACTAATAATAGATTTTTATATAATATTATTATAATAATTATATTATATAATATTATATCGGCCGGTGGCGACGCGATATAAATATTTATATTTATATTTATATATAGGTACATAAATGATAACTTGTTGAAGTCAACACTATTAATAAATTGTTATATATACAATTACAATACCTATACGATGTTATATATATATACAATTTAGTAATTTTATTTAGCATTTTATAATATTTAAAATAAAAATAATAAATACTATTATATTTTTTAAATACCTCATTGTCTATATTATGCAATAAGTTCTGTTCTTCACTGCCAGATTCATATTAATCAAATATTAAACTTAGATCTATTTCAAAAAAGACTTAAAAACCTTAACTTTAAAAAATTGAAAACTTTTTATTAAAAATGTATTTAGTTGTTTTTTTTTAACTATTTAAATACTACTTAAATATATTGATATTGCCATGTCAGTTCTCCTTCTGTGGACATAAAGTAAGTTTTGAACTTTTCACGTACTTCCTTAGCAGTAGAACTTGCATTTCTTTGTACATTTATTTGTTGCATTGAGTGTAGTGCGTTTTGTGGAGTTCCTTCTTCTCTCCAACTACCAGGAATAAAACCACTTTGCTCTTCTCTATCAAATGTTCCGGGGGGTGCGTAACTATAAGCTTTCCGGGATAGTAAATAATTGTGTAAACAACAAGTGGCAAGCACAATCTTTGTGGTTTTTTCTGGATCCAACTCTATAGGTTTTCTTAGTACACGAAACCGAACAGAAAGCAAACCAAACGCGTTCTCCACAACTCTGCGAGCACGAGAAAGTCTAAAATTAAAAATTCGATTTGGCCCGGGTTGGTTTCGAAAAGGAAACGGTTTCATTAAGTATGTTTTTAAAGGAAAAGCATCGTCAGCAACGATAACAAATGGTACTGAATCTGACTGTCCACGTAAAGGTTTTGGTTGAGGTATATTCAAAGTATTATTTTCGAGAGCTTTTGACAATGAACAATTTGCAAATACACCACCATCTGAAATACGGCCGTTACATCCCACATCAACATACAAAAATTTATAATCGGCACCAACAAGAGCCATTAACACAATGCTGTGTGTCCCTTTATAATTAAAGTAAAGGCTTCCACTATTCATTGGTGCTTTCATCACTACATGTTTACCATCGAGTGCCCCAATACAATTAGGGAAATTCCAATTTTCATAAAAACGTTGTGTTTCCTTTTCCCACTCATTAGATGTAGACGGAATCTGCAATTAGTAAGCGATATTTTAGTTAAATTTTTGTAACTTGTATCTTGTTATTAGATTTTTAACTATGTATAATATAATAACACCGAGCAAGACAAATAGTATATAATATTATAATAAATAAAAAAAATTATACATGTAGCGCTAAGGTGTATACTGTATACATTATAAATACAAAAGTTATACCAAAAGTTTGTTCTATCAGTTAGTTGTTACACTCAGTACATACTCGTATAAATAAACATTTTACTTGAATAGTTTATTGATAAACTTGCCCATGCCCTAAACCAAACTGCTATTTATTTAGGTTTGTGATAATGAGGAAGCTAGTGAAGTCGTTATGTCTCAAGCTGAAGGAGAATCATCACACGAGACATTTACAGCTTCGATTACTGCTGACAATTCATCGAAGAAAAGTAAGAAAAAAAAACTAAATAAGGGAAATGAACCAAGATCTATGATAATCGAAGATGACGAAGAGTTATTCAAAGAAGCTATGTCTGTGTTACGAGCGCCTCCGAGTGATGAATTTGATGTTTTTGGAAATTACGTTGCTGTGGAGTTACGACAACTCCGTTCTGAAGAACGAAGAAGACGATTGAAGCGCATAATACAGAGAGCTATCATTGATATGGGAGAAGAGGAAGACAGATGTGAAAAAATTGGTTCTACATGTTCATCTGGAAATTATTCTGATACCGTCTCTGACTGGGCATCATCTAGTGGTTTTTCTAATCAAAATCCACATGACAACTTAATAACTCTTTCTAATTTATCATCAATTCCTCAACAATTAGCGAGTGATAGTTCTAATTTGTCAACTTTCTATGAAAACTATAATCCTAAGTAAAATTACTAACCTTCAGATAGTCTCGTTTCAGTTCTTCAAACAACGCCTGACAAACTTCTGGCACAATTCGGCTTATAGTTGTCGGAGGAATACGAAACAAAAAACTCAAAGACTGGTAACTGTCACCTACGTTAAAACAAGTAGCATATTTCATTAATTAAATATGATATAAATTTTATTTTATTTTAATATTTATTTTTATCTTATTTCTAATATAAAATGTATTGAAAGTTATAATATGTTATTTTATTAATTTATGATGTTAAAATTATTCTATAATAAAAAGATACAGAAATAAGCAAAATAAAATATATACATTTTTTTATTTATCAAACCGTTTACCTGTGGCAAGAAACCTCAACGTCAATGTTAGTCGTTCTGAAGGTGAAATTGCTTTTCGGAGGTGAGTATCTTGTTTTATAATTTTCGGTGTAATTATTTCTAAAAGATTCTGGTAATCATTATTTGACAATCGTATGAAATTTTCATACGAAGTGGTATCTTCTGCACTCATTTCTTTCAGTAACTTTGCGTGCACTCCTTCGTCATCTCTTTTTGATATCCAATTTCTCACCCACAACCTCTTCGTTTTTTTCGATTTTATTTTCTGTTTTTTTTAATCAATAAACACACTATAGTTGCAGCTGCAACGCGTTTACGGTCCGACATTTTTCTTAAAAAAAAGAAAACGAACTAACAGCCAAAATGCTCTATCAATAACTATCTAGACTATCAAGTTGTTGACTAATGTACATGAGCCGTAGACTTATCTAGGTAGATTTGATCTATGCGATCTCTATAGACTGCTCTAATAGAGCACATTTCACTCTAGTGTAAACACACTTCTAGTGCAGTCTAGCTAGAGCGATCTAAATCTAGCTGTATTTATCTCTACAGTGTACAGGTACCTTTATAATTTATAACTTTTTATTGTTTCAAGTGATATTGACGAAAATTATATATCCACAATGTATTATTATTATATATAAAAATTATTGTCTTAAAACAAAGAAAATGTCATATTCAAATTCATATTTTTAAAAAATATGGTTGGGAAAATGTCTTTGATTTTTATTATTATGATTTATGACTTATGTTAGTTATACTTTTAAACAGTTACCTACCTACCTACCTAACATAATAATATTTAATTTTATCTGTAATTTAATTTTGGAGTTATTAAGCTATAATTTGTATAAATAGTAAAAATACCAAAGCAAATATCAAATATAATTTATTTTGAGATATGCTTTCCGAAATGTAGTTCCCAGTTCCCACCTGTATGAAACCCAACAGTGAAGCATTTAAATATGCTCAATGTGCTTATAATATTAATTATATAAGTACATTTAGTACTATATATACTTTGTCATATTTCACTTTAACTTCTTCATGTACCTACCTATCTTTCTCTAATAATTGTAATAATAAAATAATAAATAATACCAGCCCGTGTATTCAAAAAATTAAATAAAATAAATATACAATACCCACTAAGTTACTTCTTAAGTGATGTTAACTTACTCGTCTGATTATTTTTCGATTCGTCAAACATGTATTCTGTTTAAAACATGCCTTGCAGGACTCAATGATGACATCATCACCACACTTTACATTGTTCCACTGACAAGGAGTGCATCCCTTTTCTTTCAAAACGGCAATCAGTTTTTGAAGATTTACTTTTTTCATTTTAGTGCTTAAACACAAGAGTACAAAAAAATAAGGATATATATAAAAAATAATAATATCAAAAATGTATTGGCTTAGTGGTAAAAATATATAAAATTTAAATGTGTGAAAGTAAATAAATATTAGCACCTATTGCAGTATTGCTGGAAAAAAATGTTTAAATAAAATAAATAATTAATTTGTATATTAATATTATGTTAAATAATTACCAGTAGTGTATCACCAATCCCCGTGGTAATACCTGTAAAATATATAAATATATTTTAAAAAGTAAAAAGGATTGGTAAGTTGAATACACGGCCACACGGGTGATTCGAAAATCGATATTAATGAATCGGTGTTATATCACAATAGTAATATAATGTTCGGCTGTACGAGACACTTCAGAGGGGCATGTACCGTTTCCGCCAAAATTTGAAATTACCGATTCCGCCATTGCCCGTTTCCGCCAAATTGAAAAAGGTTCAATTCCCGTTTCCGCCAACTACCTGCTATGGTAAAATTATTATAATATATTCCATAATATGATATATATAATATATATATAATATAATATATTATGGAATATAATATATTGACAGTGTATATTGACGGAACCTTTTCATATTGTCCAAGTTTTTTTTTACAATTATTCACCTTACATGGTTTTATAAATAATCACTACGTTCCACTAGTATTTTGTTTATTACCCGATAAAAAATAAGAAACCTATTTCAAAGTATTAAGTGTTATATAACAACTAAATGTGATGAATATAATTTAATATTAAATCCA